TGCTCCTTTGCCAAATTTGCTTCTCTGAGGTCGTCTTTCCCAGTCATGGAAATTTAGTGTGAAGGCTTCAGTCCTTCACTGCTTACACGCTTTCAGCCGTGGCTGGGCACCAGAGATTTGTTGTTTGTTTGTTTGTTTCTAACCCGACTCCCTTTCCCACTGATTGGCCATTTAAGATAGACCCCTTTTATTCTGGAAGCCCATCGCTCAATAGCTGTGGTAGCCTACGTGAAGAGCTGACAGGGAAAAACAGGGTTTGTCAAATGCACTGGGCTCACGGAAGGTTGTGCAGCTATCGCAGAGGCCGGGGTGGAGGGACCGCGTTGGGGGCCACCTCACAGGTTCCTACCCTCGTGCAGGCTCATGGCACAACTGTTGCACCCTTCGGGCCTGGGGTGTTAACACGGCTGGTCAAAGAGCACCTGGGTGGCTCAGTCGGTTGAGCGTCCGACGGCAGCTCAGGTCGTGATCTTGCAGTTCGTGCGTTCGAGCCCCGCATCGGGTTAACTGCCGTCAACCTGTCAGCACGGAGCCCGCTTCCGATCCTCTGTCCCCCACCCCAACCCCCTGTCTGCGCCTCCCCCGCTTGCACGCTTCCACACACAAAAAAGATGTTGAGAACTGTTTCCGTTTCCCTCAGGGCAAAGATGCTCTCCTGTCTTCCCAGCCTTTTTTTCCCAAGCGGGTTATCAGTGGTCCCATCATTTTGGTAACTGCCCGAATGTTGCCGGTGGTCCTGACAGGCTGTGAGCCCTCCCCAGATGTATTGCTCTCTCTCTGGAACCATCACCTTTATGCTGGCGTGTTCTGTGCTCTCCAAGTCCGTGGAGCCTGCCCTGAAGGGACGGTCCCTGAAGACGGCTTCTGCTGAGCCGGCTGTACCTTGATGGGCCGTTTCTGCCTCTAGCGTATGATACGTTAGCATCTTCGACCTAGATCTGCCAGGGTCCCGTTTTTTCACACAGCCATCCTGTGTCCTTGCGGTCTTGTGTCTGTCTGTGGAGGCCAGACTCGAGACGTGACTTGTTTCCATCTGCCCGGAGCTTATCTGTGGTCCCTGTGACCACATCGCCCGTGAGAGCGGCCGGGCTCAGGTTCCCACGGGCCCGCCCCTCACCCCGCCCCAGCCTGTACCACTCCCGCCTACCTTGTTGGGACACAGGCTGGCAGGGTGACAGGTGTGTGTCCCTGCTGCCCTTGGCGGGGGGTGGGGGGGGGACGGCCGAGCAGTCAGGGGGACAGAGCCGGGTTCCAGATACAGCTTTGCCGAGAACCACAGAGGCCCCACGTGCTTGCCGGAGAGATGAGAAAAGAACATCGACTCGCAGTCGGTTCCACCCCTCGGAAATAACCACTGTGAATTGTGAAAAGCACATCTCTAGAGGTGTATCTGCATGTGGGAAGAAATGGGACTTCCCTGTTTTAAAACACGCTTTTTTTTTTTTTTCCTCTCTCC